GATTGGACGAATATTTGTTAAATATTCACAAATATCTCATTAGCACACTTGTATCTTACATGATTATTGAGCATGAAATCTTCAGCTTAAACCTAAGTCATTTCTTATTTATTTTTTATAACGTTTTACTTGATATTTTACTGTAAGAATTATTGTATTGTATGTTTATAAATTATTCATATAATACTTATAAATAGCAATATTTATAGTATTATGCACACATAAAAGATAATAAAATGTAGTAATATAGAAGTACAAAAATATAAACGAATATCTAATAATCATATGAATCGAATATACCTCTGGTCAAATTCTATTCATTTATGAACAGGATATTCACCAATATTCATTTACTATTAAATGAACTACCAAATCGAATATGACCGAATATCTGGATGAATAATAACTAATCTGTTTATTAATTATTTGGTTCGTTTCCACCCCTAATGGTAGAGCATTCTTATCTTGCTCCGTAAGAAATTTCCAGTTCCCAGATGGGCACTATGAATTCAACCGCACAGTGTACATCTTGGAGAATTTCATGGAACAAGATATATAATTTGTTTTCAGCAAAATTGTATTTTTTGGAAGCAACATGTTTGATGCATTTTACTATTTGTAGTGGATAGTTTTCACAACCTACCTAGAGATGACCTGGTATTTTCTCACTGCAGTGATCGGCGACTCAACTGGCATCCACATGCATGCAGTATTCGTTTCAAAGATGGCCGGGGAAACCCTGAAGAAGTTTGCTCGCGGAGAAGAAGGGGAATGTTGTATAGGTTCATCAATGGATGAGACTGCTGGAACTGTGTTGGTAATTTCTTTTGTCTCTCTTGTGGTCATAATATCAGTTCTAGCAGCATTTCTCTTTGCTCGGAACTGTCGGCTTCTCCGGCATGCAGCAAGACACAGCCGTCCTACTACGATGAATAGGCAGTCTGTGGAACTTCTTCCTTGCTTCACATTTAAGAGTGCCTATGTAAATAGCAAGAGAACTGCAGACACTTGCGCCATCTGCCTTGAAGATTATAAAGATGGAGAGAGACTGAGAGTTCTTCCATGTCTACATGGTAAGCTGTTATTAACTTTTAACCTTTTATATTGGGATATTATTATAAGAAATAAGCTTGTAACGAAGTTTAATCTATAGAAATGATTTGATTTAAGCTTGATATGAAACATTTGGTAAATTTTAATTTGAAATGTTGATACCAAAGAATTTGGACAATATTGGATGGGTGTGGCTAATTGCAAATTCTTGTTAGAAAATGTAATGATAAACGTTATTTATAACAATTGGAACTTAGATGTTACTAAGGCCAGAGCAACAGAAGGCTAGATATAGAAGTAAAGGAGGAAATATTTGTTGATTTAATGGAAAGTAGGGCGGTTAATTGAATGAAATGAAGGATTCATCTAGCTGATCTAAAACCGTAGGACCCATGATTCAGTGATGTCTGAAGAATTATAACATTCCGACACATATATGACATTAAATACGAATGTGTGATGGATACTCGTTAGACAAGATGAGTTATGTGGTGGACGCTATTGACCACGGCCAGGCTTTAACATAACCAGTTCATGAAGAAACATGTATCTTTGTTAGTTGTCATGTCCATTTTATAATGGGCTTAGCCGCTTAAAACATGTTAGTGAGTGGAATTAGTGCAAAAATATCTCTCTAAAAGCTTAGGAATTCTTCAGGCATCAGTCACTGTCAGTATTTTATTGCTTACTGTTTGGTTAGTGGGAAATGGGTGGGAACCCATTTATGGAAACCACTTTTCTACAAGGGGTTTATTTTTCTTTGTTTGTATAGACGTACTTTTAGGAAATCGGGTGTTGCAAAAGTACATGAATTGACCTATTTTTCAGGAAACCCGTTTCCCAACAAATTTGCATATTGTACATTTGTACTCATGTACTGTTGCCACTTATGGTGGGTCTATCCATGCTCCAGAGTTAATTTGGGGTTCTGGATGCATTCTGATGCGACTGGTACACCGTCCAATATCAGTCAGGTTCTCGTTTCTGAGACAGTTACATTCAGAATTCTAAAAATCCTTGTAAATGAGAATAGCACCTAATTTCTTTTCTTTGTACAGAGAAGCAACAACTATTTATATTTCTTATAGTCCCTTCCACTATACCAAAACTCCAAAGTTATGGTGAGGGTTGAGGGGTATATTTTTATAATCTAACATGCCCTCGCAGCTTGAGCAAGTCTGCTTTAAATTTGTGGCCTATGGGAATTGAACCTGGATTACTCTGACACCATCTTAAAGCTCCTTCCACTACACCAAAATTCCGAAGTTACGGTAAGGATTGAGGTTATATTTTCATAACGTAACAATATCAGTAGTACAAATTTGGATGGTACAGAAGTATATCGCTTTGTTCTTCAAATTCCATATGCTTTGTTGATCCCATTTTTGTAACGGGCAAAAATAGGCCAAAAGCTAGTCTTTCTGGGAGGGAAATGGGTAGCTAATGAGGTTACTTCAATTATTTTATGATAAAAGCTGAGTGATAGTTATATGTTGCCCTGTTCCTAACTGTTACACCCTTTCCCCCCCCAGAGTTTCATTCAATCTGTGTCGACTCCTGGTTGACAAAGTGGGGCACTTTTTGCCCAGTTTGCAAGCATGAGATGAACTCAGGAGAGTAATTTATGAAAAATTGTAAGAAATTTCAACTTTGTCTACTGGTAGCTGAAATAATCATTGCTTGAATCCTCTATTAGAAATTTGACTGCTTGTATGTTCTGCTAGGTAGATGCAACACGTTTCTTCAATAAGATGGGGGCTAACACAAGCAAACTTGGAGCCCGATTTGATCATGTTGTCTTCTTTGTGTTTGTTTTAGCTGTCATGCCCTATGATCTCTGTAGAGAAGTTGAAAATAGCAGCAGCTGCTTCATTATTCCGACGTGTTCAGTCATAATTTATGGATGAAGGCTCTTTCCCCCCCTTGTGGTCTGCCCTTTGCTCTCGCATGATGCTTTGATATACAATTTTTGAGTTGGAGACCGTGGCTGAGTTTGTTGTTTACATATGTAACATGAATGTGGGGATATTTGTGTAATGTGGTCAGTGTTTCTTGCTCTCAGCCGTATATGTATGTATTTTAGTTGTAGGGAGAAACTTGATGAATGGACGAATGCAAGGATTCACAATAGAGCTGTAGGATCTTCTTTGTTTGTCTCTGGATGGCTTTTTTCTTGCTGTAGTCCTACTGACTTCTTTTTGGCAAATTTGAGCGTTTCTTTTATCATTTGCAGTTTTGTTTTGGTATGAGTATATTCCTAAAATAGAGACATCCATTATGCTCTTCCTAAAGCGGCCGAGTCATGACATTCATTTAAACATCGACAGGTATTAAGAATGAATAAAGCGGCGGCGATAAGAAGGGGGAAAAAATCTGTAGAGTTAAGCAGCATCTACGCAGCCTCACCCCTTTTCATGCGGTTAAGCACCATCATCCTCCCTTAAATACTCTTTGAGTTGAGAACTGCAGACCGCCTCAGCTCCCACTTACCTCACATGTGGAGCTAGTTTTGCCTCTTTGGAATTCATACTCAGTTCACACCAGTTGGCCTCTCGCATTCATGGGAAAAGGGCGTGACAAATATCCAACCATCGGCTTGCTGCTCGCAGTATAGAAGCTGAAGTCACTGGTAATGGCCGAATAAAAGTTGGTGGATTGGTTGTTGACACCAGCAAGCTTTGCATAGGATTGCTCATTATTGCTATTTTAGATAATTTGGCAGGTTTCAGTCCGCATCAACTAGTCAGCTTCAGGCCTTACTGTCATCTGCTCAGGCCAAATATTTTTTCCAATATTTTTTTTTATGACAAGGGAAACCCGGTCAGCCACTCAGCGTCCCCCTTTGGGGTCCGGCGGAGACCACGGTTCGAATCTCCCCGATCCCCCACAGCTGAGGGAGCCATCTCTTTGCTACCAGGGGGGCCAATTCCACGTAGGTGGTCACTCAGCGTGTGGACCAGAACAGACTCAAACGGGTCCCTAATCTATCAGACTGATTAGCTGAATATTAAAACCACGGGTCTCCGTCCCCACCCTTAAACCAAGGGAGCCCAGTTGAATGCGGCAGCGGGGATTCAAACCCCTGACCAACAGGGCACGTGCCTAGGGAGCGAGTCCCCCCCATGGAGCTGCTGACCAAGAATCCCACCCGCGGATGTGTGTGTATAAATATATGAGAATTGTTAGTCAAATATAGAGGCACCGAAAGAGAGAAAGGGCCGAAATTGTTGACTTGGGGGTTGGCTGGTTTTTAGTGTGTAGCTGGTTTTCTGTGTTGAAAGAGGGGAGCTGGATCCGAAATTGTTGACAAAGAGAGAGGGGGAGGTGCCGAATTTGTTGACAAAAGAGAGGGCATGGAAGCTATAAAACCCCCCCTCTCCGCTCTCTTCTTAAAATAATCTGAGCTTAGGAGATCTATCAAAACTTGAGAAATCCATCAGAGCTAAGATCAGTTAGGAAGAGTGATTTGTTGTTTGTGAGATTATTGAGTGAGTGTAATCTCTATTTGTACTCCCTCTCTCTATTAGTGAGATCTATCCCCTTCTTGCCGTGGACGTAGATCAATTTGATCGAACCACGTAAATATTGTGTTTGTGATTGTTCTATTCTCTGGTTTAGTGGGTAATTCCCCCAACAAACTGGTATCAGAGCTTCTCGGTTCTAGGACAGCTTTCAATCCTCTACAATGGCTTTCGTAAAGTTCTCGGTGTCGATCTTTGATGGCCAGAACAATTTTGGCCTATGGAGGATAAAGATGAAGGCTTTGTTGCGACGTGAAGGCACGGTTAAAGCTATCGACGGGAAATACCCAGAAGATATGACTAGTGCCGAGATCGAAGAGATGGACGAAAAGGCTCACAGCGCCTTGCAATTGTCACTATCCGACAATGTGCTTCGTGAAGTTGCCGATGAGGAAACGGCAGCGGGGTTGTGGTCAAAGCTCGAAAGTCTCTACTTGAAGAAATCTCTTACTACGAGATTATACCTGAAGCAGCGGCTATACACACTGAAGATGAAGGAAGGTACACCCATTCAGGAACACCTTGATGAATTTAATAAAATTGTCATGGATATGAAAAACCTGGATCTTAAACTTGATGATGAAGACCAGGCTCTCATTGTGTTATGTTCATTGCCTAACTCTTATGAAAACTTTGTTAACTCTATGTTGTATGGAAGAGAATCCATAAGTCTTGAGGATGTGAAGGCCTCTTTGAACTCTGCTGAGTTGAGAACAAAGTTGAATGGGAGAGGTACCGATGGGCAGGCTGATGGTTTGCTAGCCAGAGGTAGATCGAAGGCCAGAGAGGGTGATAAAGGGCAATCCAGAAATCGCTCAAAGTCCAGGTCAGCCCCAAACAAGAAGAATGTAGAGTGTTTCTACTGTCACAAGAAAGGGCATTATAAGTCAGAATGCTATGCTCTAAAGAAGAAAGACAACCAACGTGGTGAAACCTCAGATTCAGCTAATACGGCAAAGGATGATATTGCCGTTGTTGCTGAGACGGTTCTTACAGTATGTCCCTTGGATGGCCGTTCCGATAAAGAATGGATCTTGGATACATGTGCGTCTTTTCATATGTGTCCAAATAAAGATTGGTTCACTACTTACAGATCTATAAGTGGTGGATCAGTATAAGTGGTGGATCAGTTTTGATGGGCAACAATGCAGTTTGCAAGACAGTTGGCATTGGTACAGTTCGCATCCGGTGTCACGATGGGATAGTGAGAACTTTGTCAGATGTGAGACACATCCCGGACTTAAAGAAAAATCTAATTTCTTTGAGTTCTTTGGATTCTATTGGGTGTTCTTACACTGGCGAAGGTGGAGCTCTTAGAGTTACTAAGGGTTCATTGGTTGTGATGAAAGGTAGTAAGGTGAACAGTCTTTATGTTCTCCAAGGCAGTACGGTGACAGGCTCTACAGGTGTCCCCTCTGATACTGATAGGGACACTACTCAGTTGTGACACATGCGCTTAGGCCACATGAGTGAGAAGGGGATGACTATTTTGAGTAAACGTGGCTTACTCTGTGGTGATTATACATCATCACTGGATTTCTGTGAGCATTGTGTGTTTGGGAAGCAAACTCGGGTCAGCTTCTCGACTGGCTCACATACGACGAAGGGCACTCTCGACTACATCCATTCAGATTTGTGGGGACCTGCTCAGGTTCCATCCAAAGGTGGTGCTCTTTATTTTCTGACATTTATTGATGATTTTTCCAGGAAAGTTTGGGTTTACTTTCTCAGGCGCAAAAGCGAGGTGTTCGAAACTTTCAAGAAGTGGAAAGTACTTGTTGAGAATCAAACTGGAAAGAAGATTAAACGTCTCCGAACAGATAATGGCTTAGAGTTCTGCAGTGGTGAGTTCAATCAGTTCTGCTCAAATTCTGGGATCGTACGACATCGCACGGTCAGGCACACTCCTCAGCAAAACGGGGTGGCAGAACGCATGAATAGAACGTTGATGGAGAGAGCTAGGTGTATGCTCTCAAACTCTGGCTTGGATAAAGGCTTCTGGGCTGAAGCTGTTAACACAGCTTGTTACTTGGTGAACCGGTCTCCTTCTACCACTATAGAACACAAGACTCCAAATAAGGTATGGTCAGGTAAACCAAATGACTATTCAAATTTAAAGGTATTTGGATGCCCTGCTTACTATCATGTTAGAGAGGGTAAGCTTGAGCCTAGAGCTAAGAAATGCATATTTATTGGTTATGCTGATGGCGTTAAAGGCTATCGTTTGTGGAGTCTTGAACCTGATTCTCCTAAATTCATTATTAGTAGAGATGTTACTTTTAATGAAAGATATATGCTTGATCATGGGAAGGTTTCTGTTGAGTCTACAGGAAATGTAGAGAAGACCATGGATAAGGTGGAGCTTCAGGTGGAGCTCGAGGGAGAGACGTCTCAAAAGTCGTCTATAAAATTTGCTCCTACAGCTGTAGAAGAGCAACATGATTCAGGCTCAGATGCTGATGATGCTGAGACTGAAGAACCTTATTCCATAGCCACTGGCAGAGAGAGGAGACAGATCAAACCTCCTCAAAGATATGCACATGCTGAATTAGTGGCGTATGCTCTCACGACAGCTGAAGAGATGAGTATTCAAGAGCCATCAAACTTTACTGAAGCTGTCTCATGCGGAGAATCTGGACGTTGGGCCACAGCTATGACAGAAGAACTCGAGTCACTCTACAAGAATCAGACTTGGGATTTGGTGCAATTACCTAAGGGTAAAAGGGCAATTGGATGCAAGTGGATTTTCAAGAAGAAAGAAGGGATCCCAGGGGTTGAAGATGCTAGATTCAAAGCACGGTTGGTGGCTAAGGGTTATAGACAAAAGGAGGGAATTGACTATGATGAAGTGTTCTCTCCGGTTGTAAAGCATACCTCCATCCGTGTATTGCTTGCCATGGTTGCTCTATTTGATCTGGAGCTTGAGCAGCTTGATGTGAAGACTGCATTTTTACATGGCGAACTTGAGGAGACTATCTACATGTCTCAGCCAGAGGGATACTTCGTAGAAGGTAAAGAAGATCAAGTTTGCAGATTGAAGAAATCTTTGTACGGCCTGAAGCAATCTCCCAGACAGTGGTACAAGAGGTTTGATAATTTTATGCTTAGTCATGGGTACTCAAGAAGTACTTATGATAGTTGTGTGTACTACATGCATCTAGGAGATGATTCTTTTATTTATCTTCTATTATATGTCGATGACATGCTTATTGCTGCTAAGAACATGTCGCAGATTCTTATTTTGAAGAAACAACTCAGTGATGAGTTTGAGATGAAAGATCTTGGTGCAGCAAAGAAGATCTTAGGTATGGAGATCAGGAGGGACAGGAAAGCTGGAACTTTATATCTCTCACAGAAGAGTTATATTGAAAAGGTGCTTGAACGCTTTGGGATGAAGAAGGCCAAGCCCGTTACGACTCCTTTGGCTCCTCACTTTAGGCTCTCGGCTTCAGATTCACCTACAAGTGAGAACGAGAAGAAGGAGATGTCCCGAGTTCCATACTCCAATGCAGTGGGTAGCATAATGTATGCTATGATTTGCACTCGTCCAGACATTGCCCAGGCAGTCAGTGTAGTGAGCAGATACATGGCTCAACCAGGGAAGGCACACTGGGAAGCAGTAAAGTGGATCCTTCGGTATCTCAGGGGTACCTCAGATTTGGGTTTAGTTTTTGATAGCAGTACTTTGGGAACCTCAGTTGTAGGTTTTGTGGATTCTGACTATGCAGGTGATCTCGATAAAAGGAGATCTTTGACTGGTTATCTTTTTACTCTTTCTGGCTCAGCTATTAGTTGGAGATCGACTCTACAATCGACAGTTGCTTTGTCTACTACAGAGGCAGAATACATGGCAGCAGCAGAAGCGGTAAAAGAGGCCATTTGGTTGAGAAATCTCGTGAGGGAGCTTGGACTTCTACAGGAGGCTAGTTCAGTTGTATTTTGCGACAATCAGAGCGCAATACATCTAAGCAAAAACTCAGCACATCATGAGAGGACAAAGCATATTGATGTCAGATATCATTTCATTCGTGAGGCAACTACTGAAAGAAACATCACGATGAAGAAGATTGGTACTGCAGACAACCCAGCTGACATGTTGACCAAACCGATCCCGGTCTTCAAGTTCAAGCACTGCTTGAATTTGGGAGGCATTCGCACTTGTTAAGTGGCCCCTTTTGGGGCATTGTTTGCAAGATGGGTGAAGACTCACTAGATATTGGTGTCGGCTCAGTTTTGGGCAAACGTTCGCCGAGGTGGAGATTGTTGGTCAAAAACATCAAGCCACAAAGAAATTGTTGACTTGGGGGTTGGCTGGCTTTTGGTGTGTAGCTGGTTTTCTGTGTTGAAAGAGGGGAGCTGGATCCGTAATTGTTGACAAAGAGAGAGGGGGAGGTGCCGAATTTGTTGACAAAAGAGAGGGCATGGAAGCTATAAAACCCCTCCTCTCCGCTCTCTTCTTAAAATAATCTGAGCTTAGGAGATCTATCAAAACTTGAGAAATCCATCAGAGCTAAGATCAGTTAGGAAGAGTGATTTGTTGTTTGTGAGATTATTGAGTGAGTGTAATCTCTATTTGTACTCCCTCTCTCTATTAGTGAGATCTATCCCCTTCTTGCCGTGGACGTAGATCAATTTGATCGAACCACGTAAATACTGTGTTTGTGATTGTTCTATTCTCTGGTTTAGTGGGTAATTCCCCCAACAAGAATAATGGAGGTGAGCTGGCAGCTCACCTCTCCCCGTGAGTTGCAAGTATATGACATGTGAACCCTCTACTAGTCACATCGGTGTGGGGCTCACATGTCATACACTTGCAGTT